GAATCTCAGTTTATCATAAAGCTCTCAGGCTCTAAATATGTCTTTCTTCAGATACCCATGAGTGCCGACCATTGAATTTAGGGCCCTCCAAAGACGGCTGGGGCCACGTCAGAGCATCACCTTGAAACCTCCTGTGTTATATCCTGGTCATCCAGAATTGCAAAAACATTAAGTGTCTACTTACCAATGTAAACCCAAGAAGAGCTGCAAAATGTTAAAGACTTGTTTTCTCCAGTCACCTATTCCTCTTTAAGTTTCCTCAAAAGGTATTATTCCTAAAGGATACTTTTTAAATGAATTGATCCTTGGGGAAGAGAAAGTGAGGGAGAAAAAACAATTTCTCATTTCTCATCTATTGATTCTTTTTCCCCTCATTTTCTTTCTTTCTCTTAGCCTTTCTCTCTTTACCTTCCACTTTAAGCAGATTTGAAGAAAAGTAAAATTACATATCAAGTGAATTGAGTAAATTTGGAGAAGGAAGGGAAGACATTTTACTTCACTGTTGGAAGGAAAAAGAATATGAGAACACAGAGTATATTCACTGACTTCAGGACTAGCTTTTTTAGCTGAGTATCTTCAAGACTCCCTATCTTTTGCTTTTGAAACACTTGAGAGAAATTAGCTTCTTAATCATGAAAGAGCTGAGACATCTTGTTCAAGATTCTGTTGGCCTTGGATTGGCTTATCAGAAGAGTCTGGATTTATATCATAGGTTTTCTCTTCCACTCGTGGTTACTGTTTTGCTCAGTCTGCTCTGGTTCTGTGCTTGCTGACTTAAGGGGCAAGCATGAGATAGACAGCCCTTTTTATGGCTGAGTTGTATCAAGTAATCAGGTTTGTACCTTAATCCCTATTCTGCATTGAGGGTTTCTTTCCACTCTATAACCACTTGTCAATCCTTCTAGAAAAATGGCAGCTCGAAGCTTTTTATAGAAGATTGTGATCCTTCTCATGCATTCTTGCTCTTCCATGCCTCCTTTCTTGTTCTGTCTCACTTTGCAAAAACAAATATCAAAGAAAGTGTTTTAGAAAATTCTTTTGCACATTTTTTTACAGAAAACAAAAATTTATGTTCCCAGAGAGCAGAAGTGCCTTTTGTATTTAGTGGTTTTATAATAAAAATTTATTTTAGTTTTAAAGTTTTAGCTCTGCCTTTTTGAAAGAATTTTTACTATAATCCAAGCTACCTTTTAGCCAAGCAGGATACTTCATAAGAAGTATTTATCATATTGAATATCACCTAATTTGAAAAGAGAAAGATAAATCAGATGCAATTCAAACAAAACCTTCTATTATTGGGAAAAAATAGAGACATTGGTACTATAGAAAATGAAAAGATACTATGGAAATTTGCTTACAATCCTTCTGGGTTTTTTCAGGTATAGTGTAGAGAAAAGTAGAACTAAAGCGTATGACAGGCAGTTTTTGGTAGCACTAAAGAACATCAGCTGGGGTCAAACACATCTGCTTGGTCAAATTCAGGGAATAAATAAATGCAAATATCAGCAGCTGATGTTTATTGAGTGATTATGAAGTACCACGCTCTGTGTTCAGTTTGTGACATGTAGTGTCTCATTTAATTCTCACAATAATCCTAAGGAATAATTTATTCCTGTGTTACCATTAAGGCTCAGACAGATGAGGTTTTATATAGTCTCATGCCTTGTGAGTGATAGAGCCAGTGTTTCAAACCAGGTCCATCAGACTCTACAGATACATTTTCGTAGCCATCATGTTACTTGCATCATGGATGGCACTGTCTTTCTGAGCAAGTACAGTGGCTTCCCACTGCTTACAGAGGTCGCTTTATTTAGCAAGCTATTCAGTACCTTACATGATCTGACCTCATCTTCGTTTCCTACCGATCTATTCTACGTACACTCCCCTACAACAATTTCAAAATTCACTGTACATACTTACTTTTGTGCCTTTCACTCAGTTTGTTCCCTGCACCTGGAATGCTTTTCCCGTGGAAACCTGACCCATTGTTCAGGGATCAGACCAAATGCCGGCTTTTCTGCGAAATTCCCAGTTTTTCCCGCTCAGTTTTTTTTTTCACTTTTAAAGTAAACTTTTTATTGACGTATGACATACATTTAAAGTAGTGCACAAATTTTAAGTGTCTAAATATAAATTGAACACTTTCAATAATGAGCCCACATCAGAAAACGTAATTTGTCAACTACACTTCAATAAACTGAAAAATATAAAGTTAAAATAAAGAAGATACAGTTCTTCCAGTCAAGATGGTGGTGTAGGTAGGTAAACACGGTGCTCACCCCCCAAAACCATGACAAAATTACAGCTAACCTACTGAACAACCCATCATTCAGAACTGCCCGAAATCAAAGCTGAATGGAAGTCTTACAATTACAAAATTAAAGAAGAAACCACATCAAGACTGCTAGGAGGGCAGAGACATGGAATGGGCTGGCCGGTCCCACACTCACGTGGCAAATAAAAATCCGGGGGGTTATCTTGGCTGCAAAGGCCCCCCTGAGGAGGAAGGGGACCTACTCCCATCGCAGGCCCCCCAGTCCAGGGTTCCAGTGCCAGGAAAGGAATTCCCCACAACTTCTGGCTATAAAAACCAGCAGGGATTTGAGTTGAGGGAAGGGGTGGGCCTCTGAAGTCACAGGCAGTTCCTCTTAAAGGACCTGTGTACAGACTTGGACTCACTCCCTCTGGGCTTCAGCATTGGGCGGCAGCTCGAAGGGCACCGCAGACATACAAGGACAAACTGAATTGTTGACATCAAGGCCAGAGCTGGAGGTACAGCTTTCTCCCAGGCAGAAGTGCTGACAGAGCCCTGGCTGGTGTGGCTCGGTGGACTGAGCACCAGCCTGCAAACCACAGGGGAGCCATTTTGATTCCCAGTCTGGGGCACATGCCTGGGTTGCAGGCCAGGTCCCCAGTGCGGGGCATATGAGAGACAACCACACATTGATGTTTCTCCCCCTCTCTTTCTCCCTCCTTTCCCCTCTCTAAAAATAAATAAAATCACTTTAAAAAAAAATGCTGACAGAGGCCATTGTCCCTTTGATGAGCCCTCCCCCCATAGACCCAGCAGGCTAGTACCTACCATATCTGAGACTCCACCAACCTTGCTATCACTGTTTGTCTGACCCTGGTGATTTCTTAAGTGCATTGCACCCAAATTTTGGGCCCACCCAAACTGTTTCCAGTGGCTTTTCCATATGAATGGCTTGTCTTGGCTCATGCTTCAGATTTTCTAAATTCTCTCAAGCAGCATCTGGGCTCAGCATACCCTGTATCTCTTGCTAAGAGGTCCCAGACCTGGTACTAGCAGAAGCAGGCCTTGGTTCACAGCTTAGCCTCAACTGGGCACCTCTAAGCCCAACACGAGTAGCAGCCATCTGCAGATCGCTTTGTAGCTTATGCCAGGTGGCCCTGGACAAAACACAGGTGGTAGCTGGCCTTGGCCTGTACCTCCCAGGAGGCCCCAGAGCCAGTGCACCCAGTGGACAGCTTCAGGCCACACAGCAGCACCCCCCCACCTTAACCACCTCCACAAGTGACACACACACTCAAGGGGTAGACTCAGTGGGCACTAGAACCCTGCCAAAGTAAGTCCTACTCTGTGGGGTGAGCCCCTGCACAGCTGATTCTTTATGTTGGTTGAAGGTTGGTTATCGGAGGTCATAGCCAATCCTCAATTCTCGTCAGCCTGGGAAAACCCCTCCCATTGATGTGCCAATGGCAGTCAAAACTCAACTACAAGAAGAGGGTGTACAGTCCACACAGGGGATACACTTCAAGTACTCATCTTGGGTGATAGGGGAGGTTGTGCCACTGGACCCTTCGGGACACTACATCAAGCCACTCCGCTAAGCCTGAGAGACATAGCAGCTCTACCTAATAGCTAGAAACAAACAGAGGGAGGCTGCCACAATGAGGAGACAAAAATATGGCCCAAATGAAAGAACCAGAGAAATCGAACAAAGTGAAATGGAGGCAAGGAAACTATTAGATACATGGTTCAAAACACAGGTTATAAGGATGCTTAATGATCTTAGTGAGAACCTCAAGAGCATAGAAAAGAGCCAGTCAGCAGTGAAGGATACACTAATTGAAATGAAGAATAATCTACAAGGAATCAATACTAGAGTGGATAAAGCTGAGAATGAAATCACCAATTTGGAATATAAGAAAGCAAAAAACACCCAATTCAGAACAGCAAATAGAAAAAAATCTAAAAATATGAGGATAGTGTAAGGAGCCTTTGGGACAATTTCAAATGTACCAATATTTGCATCTCGGGGTTGCCAGAAGAAGAGAGAGAGCGCAAAAAATCAATTGAAAAAATAATGACACAAAACTTCTGTAACTTGGTGAAGGAACTAGACATACAAGTCTAGGAAGTGCAAAAAGGCCAAAACAAGATGAACCAAAAGAGTTTCACATCAAGATACATCATAATTAAAATGCAGAGGGTTAAAGATGGAGAGAGTAAATCTAAGAAGCAGTTAGTTACCAACAAGGGAACTCCCATAAGACTATCGGATGATTTCTCAAAAGGAACTTTGCAGGCCAGAAGGGATGAACAAGAAATCTTCAAAGTGATGAAAAGCAAGGGCCTGCAACCCAGATTATTCTATCTAGAAAGTTTTCATTTATTGTAGAATCGAAGGACAGATAAAGAGCTTTTCCAGACTAGAAAAGCTAAAGGAGTTCATCACTACCAAACCAGTATCATATGTGTTAAAGGATCTTCTTGAAGATTTTTTATAAAAGCCATTCTGACTGATTCAGGTAATATCTCATTGTGTTTTGATTTTGCATTTCCCTGATTATTAGTGATGTTGAAATTCTTGTTTTAGTTTTGCTCCATCATTATGCTGCACAATTCTGTTTTAAGTTTTGCTCTGATTGCATTATTTACTACATCTGTACAGCCTACGAGACTGTCGTGGATATAGAATTATTCATCTTTGTTTCACGAGTATATTTCTGCTTGTGGTTATTTCATGTTTTTCTAGGATGGAAAAGAATTCCTGGGAAATTCATGAAAGAAGAATGAAGGAGCAGTACCTTATGGCTATTACAGATAAAGATCAGCAGATTAGTCACCTGCAGAATCTTATGAGGGAATTTAGATCTTCCTCCCAGACCGAAACCCTCAAAGTACAGTACCAAAGACAGGTGAGTAATTTCAGTGCCAGTTGCTACTCAGAGATCATCATTACCCAGGAAGTATCAGCTTCCTGCAAGCTAAGTGCCCATCTATCGCTATTAGGCAGGCCACTTACGATATTGTATGAGTGGGCAGAGTTCTGAAGGGAAGGAATTCAGCGTGAACAATCTTAGGGGGAAATTTCATCAGTGTTTGTATCCTGGCAGGTATCCCCAGAGACATCAGCTTCCCTAACTGGGTCACAAAACCTAGTGTATGAGACAGAACTTCTTAGGACTCAGCTCAGTGACAGCCTAAAGGAAATTCACCAGAAGGAGTTAAGAATTCAGCAACTGAACAGCAAGGTAAGTCTTTAATGCTAGACTGGAATTCAGTTTCTTGTTTCCATGACTGGAAGCAAGAAGGTAAGTAGAAGCTGATTAAACCCAGGCTCCACCTGTAGCATATTCTAGGGTACAGAAGTTCTACCTTTCTCAGAGCCGACTTGCTCACCCTAGGGCTAGACATGGTCACATTCTCTTTTCCTCGCCTTTGGAGAGTCTTTAAGAAATAATTGGAAAAATTCATTCAGTAAGAGTAAAAAAGCTAACTCTTTTAGGAAGCCTGCATCCCCAGCATCATCTTCCCATCTCTATCACTTATGAGTAATATTGAGGTCATACACCACAAAAACTCCAACAAGTTCCTCTCTACTTCCCACCAGTGTACAGCAGGGAAGAGTCTCAGGAAGGTGGAGGGTGGCCTTTCACATGTGATTAGACAGCAGGCGGCCCGTTTGTAGGCCTCCTTACTATGTGTCTGATGTTCAGGAACTAAAGAAGACAGCTTGCTTTTTCCTGTACCCCAGCCTTGCCACTCCAGGCACTCTAGGGAAGGATGCTGGAGCAGATGGGACCTTTTTCTGTAGGGAAGGGCCACTTTGCCATATAGAGCAAAGGCAAGGGCAAAATTAAAGACAATTCTTTTAGGTGCCTTCTCATGTCTTTGTCCTCCCCTCCCCTCCCCCGTTATGAATGTTGCTCTTTGATTATTCAGATATTGTTGCTCTTTGATTATTCAAATATTCTCTAGTGGCACCTTCCCTAGTTCTGCCTTCTTCAGAGGAAGTCAGCTGGGTGGTTTTTATGTTGCAACTAGAGGGGATTTAAGAGATCATTAGACTCTGGAGTGTAAAGATTGGCTTTGAGGAGAGCTGTGACTGTCCAAAAATGATATGTATGGTGTGTGCACGGGTGTGTGCATGTGAATGCACGTGTGTGTATAATAAGTCATCAGTTCATCAAGGGGTCTGCTGTGATCCAAAAATGATAAAGAGCAGTGGGCTGTTTTACAGATGAGGAGACTAAGCCCTAGTGGTATTAAATAACTTGCCTATTGCATTAGGGGGAGGTGGTCTGAGATAACTTATGATAATGTGTATGGAAAAGCACAGTGCCTGGCTTATGTAGAAGGTGCTTTTTAAATGTTAAATTTATCTATTTCACACTGAATTATCAGATACTGATAACACTATTACCATATTTTTCAGACCATAAGACACACTTAGGTTTTAGAGAGGGAAAATGGGGGAAAATTTTTGAAGCAAAAAATGTGGTAAAATACTTAATGACATAAGTAACATGATAAGTAAACATGATATTTCACCAATGTAAATGTAAACAGAACTCAACAGCAGCATTAACAACCATTATTCCTCTCAAATATGGGGGGGAGGTTGGGGGAATGCATCTTATAGTCCGAAAAATATGGTAACTTTGGCATAGAAATTTACATTTAAAAAAAATGTTTGTCGATCCAATGAATTGGTAAAATTGCATACTCTTTGTTGGGAGAATTATCTGGGAGTTTTTAGAGGGGCTCCAGAGAAGCTCCTACCCAGTTCCCCTTCAGCTAGTCAGTTGTTTCTAGAAAGTTCTCCCCTTCGTAGCTCTGTAACATTTGTTTCCATTAACTAGATCCCATCTCAACCCTCTTATATTTGCTCTCCTGAAAATTAGATTGTGACCCTCTCTGGGCATTTATCTTTCTAAGACAGTATTTTAAACTGCACTTCAGAGCTATTAGTAGATAATGAAATCATTTTAGCAGGTAGCAAAAATTTTAATGTGAATGTTTTACTGAAGTAAAAAACAGGAAAGCATTGAAATCATAAACAGTATGGCCTGTTCCCATGAAGTGAAGACACCTGTGTAATCAGCGCCCAGCTCAAGAATTAGAACATACCACACCTGGAAGTCCCTTTTCTCCTCTTTTATTTTTTCAGAATATGTTTGGGATCTATTTACTTCTGTTTTTTATTCTATTTTATTGAGTGTGCTATTACAGTTGTCCTAATTTTTCCCCTTTCCCCTCCCTCTACCTGGTACCCCTCTTCCATCCAGCAATTCTCCCTACTTAGTTCATGTCTGTGGGTTGTACATGTAAGTTATTTGGCTTCTCCATGTTCTATGCTATTCTGAACTCCCCTCTGTCCATTTGGTCCTGCCAATTATACTTGTTAATCCCTGCACCATTACCCCATTCTACCCCTTTCCCCACCCCCTCCCAGCTGATAACCCTCCAAATGTTCTCCATATCTATGATCCTGTTCCTGTTCTGGTTGTTTGCTTAGTTTGTTTTTTCTTTCTTTCTTTCTTTTTTAAATATATTTTATTGATTATGCCATTAGAGTTGTTCTGTTTCCCCCCTTCATTCCCCTCCACCCTGCACACCCCTCCCCCACCATTCCCCCCTTTAGTTTATGACCACGTGTCTCAAGTTCTTTAGATTCTATATTTCCCATACTATTCTTGCCCTCCCCCCTATCTATTTTCTACCTGCTGTCTCTGCTACTTATTTTCTGTACCTTCTCCCCCCTTCTCCTTCTCCCACTCCCCTGTTGCTAACGCTCTATGTGATCTTCATTTCTATGGTTCTTCTCCTGATCTCGCTGTCCTCTTAGTTTGCTTTTATTTTAGGTGTGGTTGTTAATAACTGTGAGTTTACTGTCTTTTCACTGTTCATCTTTTTTATCTTCTTTTTCTTAGGTAAGTCCCTTTAACATTTCATATAATAAGGGCTTGGTGATGATGAACTTCTTGAATTTAATCTTATCTGAGAAGCACTTCATCTGCCCTTCCATTCTAAATGAAAGCTTTGCTGAATAGAGCAATCTTGGTTGTAGATCTTTGGTTTTCATGACTTGGAATACTTCTTTCCAGCCCCTTCTTGCCTGTAAGGTCTCTTTTGAGAAATCAACTGACAGTCTGATGGGAATTCCTTTGTAGGTGACTGTCCCCTTATCTCTTGCTGCTTCTAGAATTCTCTCTTTTATTTTAATCTTGGCTAATGTAATGATGATGTGCCTTGGTGTGTTCCTTCTTGGGTCCAACTTCTTTGGGACTCTCTGAGCTTCCTGGATTTCCTGGAAGTCTATTTCCTTTGCCAGATTGGGGAAATTCTCCTTTATTATTTATTCAAATGAGGTTTCCACTGGTGGCTGTTCCTCTTCCCCTTCTGGTACCTCTATAATTCGGATGTTGAAATGTTTAAAGATGTCCTGGAGGATTCTAAGCCTCTCCTCATTTTTTTGAATTCTTGTTTCTTCATCCTTTTCTGTTTGGTCATTTTTTTCTTCTTTCTGGTCCACTCCTTTGATTTGAGTCCCAGTTTCCTTTCCATCACTATTGCTTTCCTGTGCATTTCCCTTCATTTCAATTAGTTTAGCCTTCATATGTTCCTCTGATTTGTGACTAAAATCAACCAGTTCTGTGAGCATCCTGATCACCAGTGTTTTGAACTGTGCATCTGAAAGTTTGGCTATGTCTTCATTGCTTAGATTTATGGGCTCTGAGGCTCTGAGTTGTTCTTGAGCCATGTTTTGATCTGTTAGTGCCTGTTACATATGAGGAGCGGAGCCTTAGGTATTCACTTGGGCGGGGCCACCCAGGTCACTGGTTTGTGACGCTGTATGTGGGGGCGGGGTCAGAGAAGGACAATGGCAGTCCCCTGTGCTCCTTCCTGCCACTGGGGCCTGCACGGTCTGTCTCACCACTTGCTCATTCACTGGCTTATCTGTGCACAAATGTGTGACCGTGGTCAGCCCTCAGTGAGTCCATCACCTTGTGCCCTCAGTGGGTCCGCCTGCTACTCCACACCTGGGATCCGCCCACGGCTGCCAGCATGCCTGGGTTGCGTGCCCGAGTTCGTCCGGTGGATCTTTCCTGCCCGACCCCGCTCTGCTACTGGCTCTGCCCCTCTTCCCAGTTTGGATGAAGGTTGCGTTGTTGTCAGACTTCCGTATAGTTTAGTTTTCTGTGGTTTGGCTGCGTTTTTATTGCTAAAACTTTGTTGTTTTTAAACTTGGTTTTGTGAGAAGGTACAGTGCTTCCACCTACACCTCCATCTTGGCGGAAGTTGTTTTTTCTTTCTTTTTTTTTTACATTCAATTGTTGAAAATTGTGAATTTGTTGTTCACGGTTTTGATCTTCTATTTAATGTTCATGGTTTTGATCTTTTTCTTAAATATGTTTCTTTAACATTTCCTATAATAATAGTTTGGTGGTGATGAACTCCTTTAGCTTTCTTTACCTTGTCTGGGAAGTACTTTATCTGCCCTTCTGTTCTATTTTTTTTTTAAATATTTTATTATTTATTTATCTTTAGAGGGGAAGGGGGGAAGGAGAGAGGGAGAGAAACATCAATGTATGGTTGCCTTTTGTGCGTCCCCTGCTGGGAACTGGCCTGCAGGGAACCGGCCTGCAACCCAGGCATGTGCCCTGACTGGGAATCGAACTGCGATCGTGTGGTTTGCAGGCCTGAGCTCAATCCACTGAGCTACACCAGCCAGGGCTGCCCTTCTGTTCTAAATGATAGCTTTGCTTGGATAGAGTAACCTAGGCTGTAGGTCCTTGCTTTCCATCACCTTGAAAGGGACTTGTTGCCAGTCCCTTGTTGCTTACAAAGTTCCTTTTGAGAAATCTGCTGATAGTCTTATAGGAACTCCTTTATAGGTAACTCTCTTCTTCTCTCTTTATCTTTAAACCTTTGGCTTTTGTGTCTTGGTGTGGTCCTCTTTGGGTCCCACTTCTTTGGGACTCTCTGGGCTTCCTGGACTTTTATGTGTATTTTCTTCACTAAATTAGGGAAGTTTTCTTTCATTATTTTTTCAAATAAGTTTCCACTTTCTTGCTCTTCCTCTTCTTTTTCTGACATCCCTAAGATTCAGATTTTGGCATGTTTGGAGATGTTCCAGAGGTTCCTAAGCCTTTCCTCTTTTTAAAAAATTCTTATTTCTTTTTGTTGTTGTTGTTCTGGTTGAATGCTTATTTCTTATGTTCCAAATTGTCAGTTTGAATTTCATCTTCCTTCTCTTTAATGTTGGTTTCCTATAGATTTTTTTCTTATTTCACTTAGTGTAACCTTCATTTCTTCCTTTATTTTTTTCACCATACTCAGTGGGTTTTCTGAGCACCCTGATCACTGTGTTTTGAACTCTGCATCTGATAGGTTGGCTGTCTCTGTTTCGCTTAGTTCTTTTTCTGGAGTTTTGCTTTATTTCTTCATTTGGGCCATAGATTTCTTTATGTCCTCAATTTGGTAGCCACTCTGCATTTGTTTCTATGTATTAGGTAGAACTACTTTTACTCCTTGTCTTAGTAGCGTGACCTGCCTCAGGGTACCTGTAAATTGTGTGGGGCGGAGCGTTACATAATTGCCAGTGCGGGGCATCCACTTTGCTGCTTTGTGGCTGCGTGGGAAGGGCTTGGAGTGGGACAGCGCTGCCACAGGGCTTCTGGAGGTTTGCCCAGTGCTCACCCCATTTTCAGTCACTTTACTCCCTTCCTGTGTGTGACTGGTGCTGTTCCAGCTGCTGCCGTGGTGATAAATCCCAGAGTGAGTGAGTTTCTGTATGTTTTAAGACCATGCTGGCTCTTTAAGTGGCAAAAATCCAGCAACTTCTTCCACTGCCCCAACCCCCACTGGTTTTTGTAGCCAGAGGTAATGGGGATCTGTCTTCCTGGTGCTGGAGCCCTGGGCTTACACCCAGGGGCTGGGATCACTTGCTTGAAGGTATCTCTCCTGTCCATTTGGCAGCCCCTGCTGACACCACCACCGCCTTTCTGTACCACCCCACCTCTATATTCGTCCCTGTGAGTCCGCCCCTCATACCCATCTAGATGAAAGTGTCTTCTTTAAATCCTTGATTGTTGGAATTCCATACAGCTCAGTTTTCTGATGGTTGCAAGAGGAGGCGAAGCGTGTCTCCGTATGCCTCCATCTTGACCAGAAGTCCCTTGTGTCTTCTTCTGTTCACTGCCGCCCCTGTAGAAGTACGTGTAACTGGAGTCATGTCATCTTTTCTGTGTTGCTTCATTAGTTTGTAACATTCATCCCTGTTGTTGGGTGATAGTATGATTTTTCAATTCTTACGTTGTTTAGTATTGCGCTTTAGGCATATACCATAATTATCCTATTTGTTAAAGAATTTTTTGGTTTTTCCATTTTGGGGCTATTATAAACAGTACAAATAGTGTTTTTAACAAAGTAAAATAAAAGAGATTGAAAAATATATATTATGTAATAAAGAGTATATCTGTTTTGAGAAACTTTAGCTTCAGTTACTTATGGACTGGTTTCAGCATTATACCAAAGTTATGTTTTCTTTAACAGCTTGTTTGAGATATACTCCACATACCACCTAAAGTATGAGAAACATTGCTTTGGGTCACTGTCATTCGGGGTAAGAAAGAGTTTTTTAGGACTGAGCTATAAGAAAGGTATCTTTATCCCTAGCATAATTCATTCACTTTTTTTCATCAATCAAATAACTGTAATTTGCCTTCTGTGAGCCTGGCCATATGCAATTATTGAGGATATATATATATATATAACCCCTCATGGAGCTTACATTCCAGTGAGCTTAGAGCCTCACTCTAAGTGGGTCCTAGATAACTGGAAGAATTGCTTCTTGGGCTCTAGGTAGGGATTGTAGTAGGTGGGCTGTCAGCATAGAAAGGCTCCACTGTAAGCCATTGCCCTAAATCTTTGCATGGGTGCTCAGACTTTATATGTATTTGTACCAGCATGGTTGAGTGTTTGTATGTAATGCAAACTTGAAAACATGAGAGGAATAATTCTCATGTCTAGATTGCTCCCTCCTGTCCTATATGCTAGCCTCCATTTTTACAAGTATAGACATGGTAAAATATATTTGCTTATGAGCTATAGCAGAAATCAGCAAATTTCTCCTTACAAACCCAGATAGTGTATATTCTAGGTTTGTAGGCCATCCCGTCTCTGTTACAACTACTCAGCTCTGCAGTTGTAGCACAAACGATGCAGCCACAGACGATGCACAGACAAATGGGGTGGTTGTGTTCCAATAAAACCTAATTCACAAAAGGCAGTAGTTTGCCAGTGCCTAAACGACAAGGATCTATATCTGTCCTAGAGAGAAAAATATAAACATTGTAGAAGTGGTTTACATGAGGGTAACTTACTATAAGTAATTAGACTTCTCCAATTAGGGGGGCTTGTCCTTCCAGTGAGTTTTACAAGTCTGTCCTTTCTCTTCTAGATATGCCAAAGAAAAGAATGTTAGGATTTTTTTCAGCTCTGAGGAGTTTTGTTTGTTTCTGTTTGGGGTTTGTTTTTTTCTTGTTTTTGTTTGGTTGTCTGTTTTTTGGTATGGTCTGTTTGCTGTGGCCAGGAAAACTAATTTTCTCCTACATTAGGAGAGGATCATGTTCCACCCTGTCTCAGAACCCATTAGTTGCCATTGTACCAAGCTACCTCTGTCTTCAAATTAGTGTGTCCTTTCCTTTACTAACTGCCACATTCCCCAACGAAAACCCATAACCTGCTTAACTTTCCTTCCTGAACTCCCAGTTGGAGCACCTCCAGGTGGTAGATAGAGCTCTAGGCTTGGAATCAAGAACGTACTTGAGTCCTGGTCTGCCACATAACATTAGGCAAGTCACCACCCATCTCTTTTTCTGTTCGTCATTTATAAATGGGGACAGAAATTCTTCCTCTTTCTCCCTCAAATAAGGTAATGCTTTTGAAAGTGGTTTGTCAACTGAACATTGCTCTTCAGAGGTAACTTTGTCCTGTTTTTCATTGTGGCCTGCAGATATTTTTCTTATACCATGTGGACTTGTTGTTCTAATTTTTCTTATGCATCAAATGTCCTTAGTGATCATCATAGAATCTTTAGAAAAGTGTTATCTTTTTTACTCTGAACATTGATTCAGCTTTTTTATTCAAACATTAACCCAAAATACTCACAAAAAGGAGTACTCAGGAAAAGACTGAGCATCAGCCAGGTCCACCAGTTTCCTTTTATACAAAGTGTGTGTTCCTACAGTAGGTACTTCAGAGAGGCATCTCTATGGCTGTTAATGGACCGGATGTTAATAATAACTAAACTTAGGACCAAATCCAAATCAATAGGTAGAAGCTCCAAAGAGTACATTTTTGTCCGGTATTAGTATGGGAAATGTAGAAGCTAAAGAACTTACAACCCATGGACATGAACTAAAGGGGGGGGGGGATGTGGGCTGGAGGAGGTGTGCAGGGTGGAGGGGAATGAAGGGGGGGAGGAAATGGGACAACTGTAATGGCATAATCAATAAAATATATTTAAAAAATAGTTTTCTGTTTCTGACATCAGAAAAGTGGCTTGGGTTGCTTTGTCAGATAGTGAGCACTGCTGACACTGGCCGTGTTCAAGGAAGACTGAATAACTACCTGTTACTCATGTAGCGGAGGAGAGTCCTGCTTGGAGTGACTGAAATGTTTATGCCTGTGAGTCTCTATTCCCAATGTAGTTCCCTACATGTACATTAGCATATTAGGATTTACTCTTCTACCACATATTATATTTTTTTATTCTATGTTCTTGGTGACTCATAACTCTCTACAGCATTGAAGAATCTTCCCAGATAACATTCCTGTATGAATTTTTAGATGACAGCTCTACCTCCAGCCATCTTGAACTCTGTGCTTTATAGTCATCTGTTAGTAACTTCAACTTGGACCCAAGCTACTGCCATTCCATACATACTTATTACATCAGAAAGCAAGTGGAGCCTGGGCTGGTGTGGCTCAGTGGATTGAGTGCCAGCCTGTGAACCAAAGGGTCGTCAGTTCAATTCCCAGTCAGGGCACATGACTGGGTTGCAGGCCAGGTCCCCAGTTGGGGACATGCAAGAGGCAACCACACGTTGATGTTTCTCTCCCTCTCTTTCTCCCTCCTTTTCCCTCTCTCTAAAAATAAAGAAATTAATTTTTTTAAAAGGCAAGTGGAAAACAGTGTTGATTGAGGGCTTCCACTTCCCTTTTTTTTTCATTTTCAGTAAATGTACTGCACACTATAAATCAAGTTTCCTGCTACTTTCCCCAAATTGTTTTTCTTTCTTGGTCAAAAAATTCTGAGTTTTCTCACTTTGTTGGAATGCACAGTGCTATTGTTCCTATTATTGGAATAAAGGCCTTGCATTAAAAAAAAATTAAATCTGCCCTGGCTGGCATAGCTCAGTGGATTGAGCGCAGGCCTGTGAACCAGAGTATCGAGGTTCGATTCCCAGTCAGGGCACATGCCTGGGTTGCAGGCCAGTTCCCAGCAGGGGATGCAAGAGAGGCAACCATACGTTGATGTTTCTCTCCCACTCTTTCTCCTTCCCTTCCAAGCCTCTCTCAAAAAATAAATAAATAAAATATTTTTAAAAATTAAATCCTTAAAACTGAGGACAGCTAGCCTAACTACTCTTTATAGTCAAACAGACCTGTGGGGTGGTGCTTATCTTGTCCTCTGTTTCAGTTTTCTCAGCTACTTGAAGAGAAAAACACCCTTTCAATTCAGCTGTGCGATACCAACCAGACTCTGCGTGAGAATCAGCAGCACTACAGTGACCTTTATAATCACTGTGCCATCTTGGAGAAGCAGGTTCAAGAGCTACAGGCGGTAAGTAAGAAGTTGAGAGGCTGGGGAAATTGTCGTGGAGCTGATTGTGGGTGAGAAGGAGTAAGTGAGCGGCATTGGAGAGGCTGACGTGTTCAGACGAAGATTAATTAGGTGTGATGGGAGAAAGGGGAGAGAAGGGCGTTAATTAGAGTGGGAATAAGGTCTGGGAAAGGGATTAGAAGGAAAAAGATCAGTGAGGTGGTGGGAGAGGAATCAAAAAGCAAGTGGAAAACAGTGGTGATTGAAGCTTTTGGAATTCTAAAACTGGGGAAAATTTGATGTTGCTCCAAGAAATAAGAAAGCTGTGAGGGAGGTTTGGACCTGGGGAACAGAATAGGCAGAGCTGTTGACAGCAGGGGTGAGGAGGGCATTGTGGATGTTGGGAGAGGTTGAGAATTATTATGGGAGTAAATGGGACATTGGAAGGAAAGAGAACGGGTTGGGGAGGGGTTGTTGAGCCCTTGCGTGATTATAGTGCCTTCTAGAAAATCGACAGGCCTCCACTGGAAAAAAGCAGACTTCAATAGTAAGCCTTTAAAGTTTTAAGAGGAGAGATTCCAGAATGAGAATCTCAAATAACATTAATTGAGAGTTTTATGTAGGAGATTAATCTGTTTGAGTTGATTCTTGCTTCTAAATCTGTACCTGAAGAGAATTATAAGCAGAGGCTTATAATTCTGCTTATTATAAATCACGTTTTCTGCTTATTAAAAAATTCCTCTGCAAGATTTTTTATTCTTTTTGATGTTAAGCGAGTGTTCCTTTTGCCCAAGTACAGTTTCTTAAGCGCTCCTGTCACTGAATTGCTAAGCTTATTCTTCTTCTAGGGGCCACTGAATATGGACGTTGCTCCAGGAGCTCCCCAGGAGAAAAACGGAGCTCACAGGAAGAGTGATGCCGAAGAACTGAGGCAGCCTCAGCTAAGGTGCGGAGCAGCTCTCAAGCCCGGAGCGTGCGTCACGTATACAGAAATTGGATAGTCATCTAGATTGAACTGGAGACCACTGAATGGATCTGAAATATCATCTTATCTTATTGGCCTCACAGAATTGATGTGAGGGCTAAATAGGAACAATTATAACCTCACAAAATAAGTGTGAAAATTTGTGAAGCATAAACAGTAGCATCATCTTACACACACATACCACTAATCCAGTAATATTCATATGAAAGATATTCAGTTAGTCCCTAAAATCTCTTAAGATATATTCTGTATCTTTGTTTAATCACTCCATACCTAAGCTTTTAATGTATTTGTTGTGTTTCTATAAGCTTCTATAAATTTTTCTGCTCTATAACTTTATGAAGGCTTAGAATCCCTTGTGTTATTAGCAGCTGTGCTCTGCATCTAGTGATGCTGTTTGTCTTCCTTTTGTCCTGAAGCTTTTCGGAAGCTCAGAAGCAGCTGAGCAACACTAAACAGGAGGTGAATGAATTGAGGAAGCTGCTGGAAGAAGAACGAGACCAAAGAGTGGCTGCTGAGACTGCCCTCTCCGTGGCCGAGGAACACATCAGGCGGTAAAGGGCTGTGAGGGATTTATGTGTGTGCACCTCTGGTCCTTCCTGATCACACTCGGTACATTTCAGTGGCCAGGGATCCTAATTATTATCGAGAATAATTAGGATCTAATTCTCATCTTGAGATGGGTGCTGCAGTGACTTTAGGGTCAATGCAGTCACTCAAGAAGATGGCACTTTTGGACTCTAGGAGACCTGCACTTTGCAAAGCATTTGTCCTTAGAGAATAATATTATCTACCATTTATTGACAGCTTATTTCATGTGGGGTGAAATAAGGTGTCTTTTATATCCCAGCAGTAGCTATGTGAGGTAGGCGTAGGACTCTTTAGAGAGCCAATTAAATGGCAACCCCATTCCTTATCTCAGATATGAATCAGCAGAATTTTTTTTACAAAGATTAAAACATGGAAGACTAAGAAACCACTTTATAAAGATGATATAAAAGAATCTAGGTTTTGATTTGTTAGCAAATGTACTTCCTAACCCTGAACTTGCCCTCCCAGTCACTGGCATTGGTAAGCCAGGGTAGGCTTTCTTGCAGAAGACCACACTCTTACAAAATTAGAACATTACAGCAAATTGTGCCTCTTATGGGAAGTTTGCTCCAAGTGTGATTTGGAAGGACAGCTACATATCCACAATTCCTTATTCCCAACTCACCAGTCAAGAGACTCACCCTACATGAGAGAGAGTGGCTACAGTCATTTTGCTGCTGGGTATTTCTTTTCCGTGGAAAAGAAACATTAAAAGTAGCCACTTTTATTATTTCTGGGGGGCTGGGGGAGCCACCTGCATATATTGCCTCTTCCTCAGAGAGTGAGTTATATTACTGGCTTGCAAAATTGAGGTGGCAGAGGTGGCAGACCCAGTGAGCAGGTCTTATTTGAGATACCTTTTTTCCCACCCAGGTTTTTCAGTACTTCTTAATTTTCATCACTCGTTTGGGCCTTGGTCTGCAGCCTCGAGGGCGGGCTCTGTGGGAATCCACAGAGCCTTTCTGTCTCCACTGAGTGTTTTCAGCCAGTGCAGCCATGGCTCTTTCTTTGCCACTTGCTCTGGTCTTGCTCAGACCTGGAAGCCCTGCCCTTTGGGGGGACCTTTTCCCCATGTGTGCTTAACCTGTCCCAAGCCAACTCGAAACTTGCATAGTGCCAGTGACTCTTGAGTCTGTGGGCAAGCTACATTAATCCAAGCTTAGCCCCCTCCACAGTTCCCTCTTTGGCCCTGATGCAGAATGGAAATTGAAGTAGCCAGTGATGTACTGCCTACCTAGGCCCAGTACCAGTCAATCCTGGTAATTATTACTACCTTTTCCTGCTGCTGCTGAAAGGCACCTGTCTGCCTGTGCCCTCCTTGCATGGGATCTGAGATGTGAAACCAGTCTTTGTGGCCAGTCCCTTGTGCTACATCACGTGGCAAATGAGTGGGATGACTTCACCGGATCCGCCTACGTGCTGTGAACCAATGCCATTCCTGTTTTTCTCAACACAGGTTGGAGCACAGTGAATGGGACTCTGCCCGGACCCCTATCATTGGTTCCTGTGGCACTCAGGAGCAGGCACTGTTAATAGACCTTACAGGCAACAGCTGTCGAAGGGTAAGAAGGGAAGAAGGCTGTAGATAAAGAGAAGGTACTGTACTATCTCTAGGGCCAGCTGCGTTGAGGCGAAGGGTCAGGAGAAGGAATGCGGAATTCCAGGCACTGGGCAGCTAATGGGGCTAAGACTGGAAAGATAAAAGGGTGGGGGATACTGGGAGGATTTGCCAGTTTGTTGGCTTTGAGAGGACTTTCAGGGGATCTCTTTCCTGCAGGGATGGAGGAAGAAAAAGAACATATCTCTATAGGGTAGAACTCTCTGACCTCCCCATTTTTCTTTCAGTCACGGAGTGGTGCTGGCTGGAAGCGGGTCCTGCGTTCGCTCTGCCACTCCCGGACCCGAGTACCTCTGCTGGCAGCTGTCTACTTTTTGATGGTTCATGTCCTGCTCATTCTGTGTTTCACAGGCCATCTATAAACTTCGTTCTCAGCTTTTGGAACACTCCTCTCAGAACTTGCAATTCCCTCATCTCTGGTACCAAAACCATTAATCCCAGTGGAATCGTCTTCCCACTTACTAGTCCTCTCTCCAAGTCTCCACAGAAAGTGCCTGCAAAAACAGAAGTGGAAGTGAGCCCAGGTTAGAGCTACAGGAACCATCAGGTCTGCTTTCTTCTATTGCCCAGGGCCAGAAATTCTGAGGAGGCCCCATATTTGGTTGCTGAGCTCAAGATTTGTTCAGCATTTATCAGGCCCAGACCTCCTGTGGTCCTGTGAAAGATGCAGAGGAGTGTCTTCAGCCAGGAGGGTGGCTCCAATAAACCTAGTAATCTGAAGTGCTGTATTATTTTGATTGATATTTATTTGCTTCAGTCACCTTATATTTATTTTCTCCTGCTTCAGGGAAAAGGGGGCTCGCCATAACAAAGTTCTGGTGGAATATTATCTCATAGGACATCTGATTAGGTCCCAGGGTCTGCAGAACTCCCCACGGGTTTTAGCTATTGGATCACGGGGGAGCACAGCATCTCCTTCCCTGGCTGTTCAGACATCATTGGAGTAAAATATATGGTCTCGAACTGTAGGATAGGATCCCATTGCTTACACCCTTGATCACATGTGGACGAAGGTACTGAGTGGCCCTGCCTTTCCTTTCACTGGCAGGCAGGAAGAGGTGGCTATCGGCAGTGGGATTCAGATTCTTGTCATTCCGTGTTACCTGGATATGGCGCAAGTGTGGGCCCTATCACAGCACACTGGGAGCCAGTCCTAGTGAGGCATCGACGCCCCTGGCTAGGGAGGTCTGTCTGATCTGGAGACCACTCCCAGCCCAGCCTCTTGAAGTAGCTCCTTTGCTATTGGTAACAGTTATTCTACTTTCTCAATTTCATATTCATCTGTCCTCTGTGGTAACAGAGAGCTAAGAAAATGAAGGGAGGGTGTAGAGAAAACAATATTTAAGTCCAGGCCTGAGAATGACAGCAGGATCGATTTCCACTTGTGCCTATTCCCCACCTCCCCACCCTCAGCCCTTCGCTGTTAGTTTCCTCATCATGCACATGATGTCTTCCCAGCTTGCTCTCACCACCCAAAGAGAGAAAACTGGCGAACTGAGTGAGACGCTCTAATCATTTGTTCTGTGGTGACCAAGCCTTGGTCACCCTAACCCAGGAACTGTCCCAAATAACTGTAAAATAATAAAATTATTTTTAGAATGAAAAGTGGTGTGTGCGTGTGTGTACATGTGTTGCGTGCTGAGGGAAGAAGGTAGACAGGGGCACGTGGGAGCGGGGTAGCCAGGAATGGGTAGAGGAGTTGGAAGCTTTACCTATTCAGACTTCTTTCTCACTGACCAACATCAGTAATGGCTACATGTGTCCTTGCAGCTTAGCAGCTAGACCCTGGCCAGGGTAAGGAAGTAGGGTGAAGAATTTCATCCTGATACTGAACCAAACAAGTTGGGCTTTAAGGCATGAGATTCATGCAGGTTTATACCTGGGCCTGGGAGAACTCTTCTCTGGTGCATATTGAAAACATGAGACCCTACAGAGTCCCTCTCGGTGGGAGTGGGGAAAGGGTAGTCTAAGGTTCAGCAGGGTGGGCCTTACTATATTTTTATATTAAGTTGCTGCTTGAGAAATCTCACTTAAGATACAATAAGTAAATTGAACCAAGTCTGTATTCAAAGCCCGTGCTACGTCATGTGCCACAGCTCACTGCCGCTCACTGTGAGTGAACTGAGGACATTTGCTAAGGAGAAATGGCTTTTCTTGGTGTCACCTTTAATTACATTTTATGGTTTCGCAGAAAAATTACTTGGATGGTGTATCATAACATCTGGCTGGATCATTCCTTTTTGCAACACTAAATTAGGGTTCCAAATGATCTGAGATTTCTTTTCCCCTTCTACAAATTTACTTATCCTTCAAATTACTTTGGTGCTGCCACAATAAATAGGTTGTGAAGTAGGAGAACTCTACATAAAAATCTACCCCACCCCCCCACAGAATCCTTAGAATTGGAAGTGATTAAAATCTTACTTATTCCTAATGCAGAAATCCCCTCTGTATCTTGGACTAGTTTCATCCAGTCTCTGCTTGACTCTATTGGGGAGCTCACTGCTGAGCAAATCAGGTCACAACTCTACCTCAATCAAGACTAGGAGAGGCTAGGTCAGATACAATGACAATACCCCTTAATTTTCAGCAGCTAAAATAACAAAGGATTATCTTGTAGTCAAAGGCTCCAGCTCCCTCACAATAGATTGAGTGTTGCTGTTATTTGGGGACACTTTCACTTCCCAACCAAGAATGGGCCCACTCTGCAGAACTGCAGGTGGTCGGCACTGGGCAAAAGGATGACAGCTTGCTCTGGTCATAGTCTCCGCCACAAAGTTATATATTGGGTTGGCCAAACAAGTTTGTTTGTTTTTTTCCATAAGGTGGCTGTAGTTGTGCTTAGTTGTCTTTATGCCACAGACCTCCCGTCATCTGGCACCACCTAGTTCTTCCAGACGTCTTCCTGCTGGGGATCAGCTCTGTTTGAGTTAGCTCCAACTCCTCTGTCTCCTAAACCGTCTGACTTTCTCTCTCTCCACGTCTTGCCTTTTCCCCTGTGGCTTGTTCCCTTTTATCATTCAATTGGTCAGTATTTATTTGAACACCTACTATATGCAAACCCCAGTTTTAACTGCTGTGGGAAATGGAAAAGTGAGTTTCTGTTTAATATTACCCTGCAAGGTACACATAAAAATTATTTTTCCCATAAAAATAATTATTTTTCCACATAAAAATTATTTTTCCCTTGATTACTTCTGCCAATACCAAACTGTCTACATTTCCTTACACACACAACCGCCCACATGTTTGGTTTTGGTCGAATGTTTTGCTTCCCTGGCCAGCTATAAACTCAGAGTAAGCTTTTTTTTTTTTTTTAAACTTCCCTATGACCTTCAAAGTCTTGCAAAAGATGAAGCATTTTAGTTCTTTTTTTGTTTTAAGTGCCTGAGCAGAAGTAACTGACTCAAACTTCAGGAAGTAGCTGTGAGGACACAGTGGCAGGAAATGACAGAAAACCTGAACACGGAACTGAAGCAGCAGCTCATTTTCTCGCTCAGAAGTGGCAGCAGCCAGAGAAGGAGCCAAGTGTCGAGGTGAGGAGCGGGGAGCTTAGAGCAGATGCTCGCACTGTTGGAGGTGGGTACTCTGAGCAGTGGGAAAGGGAGCAGGACGCAAGAGCTGAGGTAAGAGGAGCCTACCTAGCTCTCAACTGATTATTGAGAGGTGAAGTCATGGCTAGCAGGCTTTTAATCTTTTATGGCTAGAAGGTCTGTGTGGGCGTGGTGGTGGACAACGAGTATCTGAGGATGGAAACGGAAGTGAGTGGCTAGAGCCCAGGGTACAAGATCCGGCACCCATTCGATCCAGAACCCCTGGCTTCTTCAGAGTCTACAACCCTCTCTCAAGACTGGCTGCTCCCAGGCACTGAGTTGGGAGGAGGGCCACAGGAGGTAAAGACCTAGTCTCTGCTCTTAAAGACCTAGTCTCTGCTCTTAAAAGAGTCTGATTTACCAGGGAGACACAATTCACATAAATGACGTAATAGCTTAGGAAGTAGTTGCTCATGTGCACCAGTGCTGAGAACCAAGAGATGATGGAGGCCAAGTAGGATGATGGTGTGACTAGGGCTGGTTTCTGTGATTGGGTGATCGCAGAAAGTCAGAAGTGGAGGGAAGTTTACAGATTAGCTAGGTTAACCTCTTTATTTTTCCACTGGGCAAAAACTGAGCATCTGAGACATTCAGTGATTTACCAAATTATTTAATATTTGTGAAACGTCTACCCTGGTGCCTAGCAAATAAGTATGTATTCTTTGTTAATCCCCTTACCGGTGTTCCCACAGGGGCTTAGTAATAGAGCTAGGTGGTCTTCTGACTCCCTATCCATGTACTTTACTGATGCTATAAGGCAGCCGCATGATGAGGCCCTTGGTGTTACTTGATGTTCTGGACACCATGCCTTACCAAGTTACTCTCTGGTCTCCTACCTCTAGATGGTATGTCTTGCTTTCCCTATTTCTGGCCGGTAGCTCGAGGATATTCAGTTGTCTTTGTGTCAGAAACTTCTCTTAGTTTCAAAAACACGTGAGGATGGGAGATTTAAGGGAGAGGCAGGATGAGAGGCCTTGGAGGAAGAGCAGGAGAGGGACTAGGACTCAGTGTTCATTGCTTTCTTATTGCTCATGAACAGTTCAGAAATGTCTCCTTTCCAGTTTCCCGTGTGAAGTCCTCTTCTTGCAGAGCAGCCAGGAGCCAGGACCTAGGTCTTGTCTACCTTCCCTCCCCCCATCTATAATTGTTGCCTCACAGGGGAGGAAGGTAAAGCTGGTCTTGGCAGTGACTCATGCCACACAGTGCAGCTGACTTAGTCAGTACTTCTCTGGTGCATCTCTTTAATCAATCTACTGCAAACTTCCCTTGGGCTGGTTTCCACAGCATTTTTCTTTTCTTTTTTTTTTTTTTTAAGATTTTATTTATTATTTTTGGAGAGAGGGGAAGGGAGGGAGAAGGAGAGGGAGAGAGACATCAATGCGTGGTTACCTCTTGCACGCCCCCTAATGGGGACCTGGCCTGGAACCCAGGCATGTGCCCTGACTGGGAATAGAACCAATGACCCTTTGGTTCACAGACTGGCACTCAATCCACTGAGCCACAGCAGCCAGAACTCCACAGCATTTTTCAAGGAGCATGGGAAAGGAGTTTTCAACTGGAGAGGAAACTTAGAGACTCTGAGGGGCCTGGGCGGGGATCCTGCAGTGTCCCAGGTGCGGTTATAAGAGGGATTCCTTTAAGAGACAGCAAAGAGTATGGGAAAGACATCAGTGGGATGAGGAGTCTGAGCGGGAAGGGATAGGCAGGGGAGTTGCCAGCTAGCAAGTGGTATCAGGGTCGGGAAGTCTCGGTGGCCATCAGAGCAGATGGGCATTGTCTGTTTCCTCTTCCCACTGAGATTTGGGAACCCACGGATGCAGAGCAACTGTGCAGCTCCTCCCCATGCACAACTGTCAGGGCCAGTGGAAACACTGGGGATGCCCCAGTAGAATAACAGTGTGGTACTCCTTCCAACTGGTGTTCTCTAAGCAGTTCTTTATCATTGATTTAGTTAATAAAAATATAACAACTTCTAATGTGCAAGATGAGGGATTTATTACATACTATTTTTGTATCAATTATCTTTTTTTTAAAATATAATTGACCTGTTTTTAAAATTGGAAAAATAAGTGACCTATTCTTGGCAAATAATGCTTCCCCATGCATTGCCCCGTGCAGGAATTCCAG